CTCAGAGCCCGGTTGTTGGGGACACACACCCAGGAAGACTATCCTCTCCTTGGTCCTTGCTCCCTACAGAAAGCTGCAAGCATGCCCAATCTCTGGCCAACAATCACTCCTGGCCCCTCACTGCCAATAAATAAGGCTGTTGACCAGGGTTTGGGGCCTAAACACCCAGGTGGAGTGGAGAAGGGCCTCACTGCCTGCAACCTCAGATTATTCCCATTTTCTGGAAACCTGGGCCACCTCTGCTGCCTCACACCTGGCTTTTTTTTTTTTTTATTTAATAGCCCGAGTTCTCTGCCCTGTTCAGGCCCAGGAAGAAGCATGGGCTTTGTAGCCTTTTAGACTACCTTATAGAAATCCCAGATGAACCCTACCATAAAGCCCAGAGAACCCACCATAATCTCCAGGGAAACTCCAATATCCTTAGCCTTACACCAGCATCCAGAATCTATACAAACATCTCCAAACCCATTGTAACACCAAGGACTCCCCGGCCCAGGCAGTGCTACTGTGCCACCCCAAGTGTGGCACATGAACCCAGGCTCTCTGCAGGAGCACCTGAGCCTCTCAAGCTGGACTTCTTGCTCCCCTGCACTTGTTTTCTTTCCTGACCCAGACAGGACATTCTTCTTGAAGGCTCCAAAGTCTTCCCTGGACCCTGCCCCCATAGTTTCACTGTGGCAGAGGGAAGCGTGGGTACACAGGGCATGGATGTGGGTTGGGTGGCTCATGGAGGATGTCAGGACTTGAGAGAAGGACCCAGTCGGCTGCCAACTCATCCGGATGTCTGAAAAGCTCAGGCAGGAGGCCTAGAGGTCAGACCTTGGGAGGTCTTGCCTGAATCGGTCGGGCCCTGGTGTATTCATAGGTGGGTAAGCAGAATGAGCATGTGGTGGAGGTGGCTTCTCTTTTCCTTGGTCTCAGCTAGAGGACCCTGCTCCCTAGAGATATGGGGGAAGTAGGGAGTCTGGGAGGACAGCAGACCAGATGGCCCCGGAGGGCCAGGGAAATCCAGAAGCCATGGGCGTTTACACCTGGGGCTTCTGAGGACACAGCCACTGATATGAAAGGAGGCAGGACTGCTGGGTCCCCTGGACACACATCTGTACATGTCTCTGTCCAAGTGTTTTGGGCCTAGACTGGGGGCAGGTGTGGGAGGGAAGATGGAGGGAGGACTGGGAAATGGTAATTCAGAGGGAGGGCACACAGGCCTGGTCTGTTAGTCTGATGACAGGGGACACTCACATCTAGGACCTGATTTAGCAAGAGCTGGAGGGAGTTGTTCAGTGCAGGGAGAAACAGAGGAGAACCATGGGTTTCAAATCAGGAAGGCTTCATGGAGGAGCAGAGTGGGCAGCAGGGATGGAAAAGAATGGAGGGGCAGAGTTGGGGAGGGTTCTCACTGGGCGTGAGGGGGAGGCAGCTTTCCTGGCCAGGCTGAGAGTCCAACCTGCAGTCACCAGAGGTTAGAATCTGGAGGTAAAATTCTGAGAATGAGTGTGAAGGTGGAGGTAGGTGGTGCTGGGACTCTGGGCTCTGCCCTTAACCCTTGACCTTGAGCAATTTACATATACTAACAGAGTCTTCTTTCCCTAATCATAGGGGATAAAGCAAGCATTCTCGATATTTAAGAAACTTCTCCGGTGGGTGAGACCAGCATTTGGGAGGAGGCTATTTAGGCCCTAGTTAAATAGATTTCAGCAGTGTCAGCCCCTCCTTGTAAGTGAGAGGGCTAGGTCAGCTCTGCCGCTAACCAGTCACTTCTGCAGCCCGAGTTCCCCTAAAACGAGGGGGGGTTGTTCTGACTGATCACTCGGGCCCCTCCCTCCATCTGATATTTGTTTAATAATTTTCAAGGTCCTTACAAGAATCAAATGAGCTCATGAATGCCGAGAAGCCTTGCAGAAATATAAAGTATGTTCTCAATGTGCGGGGTTGAGGGGCTGCCTGGGGCTGGAGGGAAAGGCGCTTACTTTAGAGTTGGGCCATGGGCAGGGGTCCATCATTGCGGCTGGGACCCCTCGAAAGAAAGGCAGGGCCCCTGCTGGGTGTATGTCCCTCCCTTCCCACAACCTCTGGACACCTGGCGTCATTCCCTTCCCCCTTCCTAGCCCAGCCCCAGGTTGGGAGCAATGAGCCCTGCTCAGGATGGGGGTGGGGCTCCCAGGGGCAGGGGCAGAGGCGTGGGCACCTCCCCGCTGAGTGGCTTCAAGCTGGAGCACAGCAATTACGCAGGAGGATTTATGTCCCTTTGCCTTTAATCGGAAACTCCGTGTCAAGAAGAAAAATCTGCACTGTCCTCCGGCCCAGCTTCCTGCTTTATCATTATTATTGGAGGAAGGTTGATTTGGAAACTTAAAGAAAAGTGGGGTTGGGGGTGGGAACCACCACGGAAGGGGAGGTGTGGGGCAGAGGGTAGCCTTCCTACTGTTTGTTCTGGTTCATCCCAAGAAGGGGACAAAGGGTGGGACGTGGGGCTGGGGATCCTGGAGCGCAGGGGAGAGAGACAACAGGTTCATTAGGGGACCGATAGTGTCTGGGGGTCGCAGAAGGAAGGGGCATCTGGGAAGCAAGGGAGATGAGATGCCAGAGGGAGGGAAAGGGTGGGTGACCATAGTGGGCAACCAGGAGTTAAAGGGACTCGGGCAAGAGGACCAAGAGAGCTAGGGCTCACGGTGGAGGGAAGGGGAGATCAGGTACTGGAGAGGCATTGTGAGGGTGTGGGGAGAGGATGGAATAACCAGTGGGGGGACCAGTTCTCAGGGAGCTATGGGAGAGGGAGAGTATGGGGTGTCCAGAGGGAAGAGAAGGGCTGGAGCCATGGAAGGAAGAGGGATCCAAAGCCTGGGAGAGGGTAGGGGTGGGGGTGGGGATTAGGGGTAACCAGAACCTGGCCTAGGGCTCTGGAACTCTGGCCAGAGCACTATACTCCACCTCCCAGAGAAATGGCTCCTAAAGCAGAAGTGGTGGAAACCTGAGGCTTTGTGGGAGGGCAGCACCCTCCACCCAGGAGACAGGGGTCCAGTCCTGGTGGGGCCAGGGGAGGAACGGCTTTCATGGGGCCATGTCAGCAGGTATAGTGCTTGGGAATTTGCTGCAGAAATCCTTAGGCCCTGGGGAGACTGGACTGAAGTGTTGGAGGGTGAGAGGCACCCTTGGGGAGGGGAGGGGCCCAGAAGGCCTCCTAGTACTCCACATCCTTGTCCGGAAGTCCCCCTAGTGTCTTACCTGTTGTCCCTCCAGTTACCTGGATTTCATCTTCACCTGTGGAAAGGACACCAGCTCTGGGGCTGCTCCCTGGGAACTGACATCCTGTGTGCACCTCTGTGAATCTAAGGTTTCTTATCCACAACAATATCTCCACAGCAGGCCGTTGTCAGGATTAGAGATGATTGGGCAAAGGATCCAGCACACAGTAGGCCTTCCAAAGACACCATGCCCACCTGGGGGTGGTGCCCAGTATATGCCACCCCCTTCCTTTACAAAGGACAGATTAACTCTCTGTGTGGTTCCTCATCTGGGTGTGTGTCATTGTCTTCCCAGGAATGGGAACCTTGGCACAGAGCCACTGAGTGACGTGCCTGAGGCCACACAGCACATCATGGGAGCAGCCGGATGAGACAGCCCCATAACACCACCCAAGGGGCTTGAAGATCTTCTCTGGGTCTCCTTCCTCCCTCCTTCCCCCAAGGGCCCTGGCCCCCTTGTCCTGGGATCCAGGGTTGAGTTTGGGGTGCTCGGTGGAGTGTCTTGGCTTCCGATCCTACTGCAGCCTGGCCCGTGCCCACCCTCAAGCACCTCCTCCCCAGCTCAACTGAGAGGTTTTATAGCCGTTTACGAGCAATTTCTGTCCGTATATCACCGGAGATATATAGCCAGGCAAATATTAGGGACCCAAGCGGAGGTTTTAAGAGGTGAGTTTTACTGCTGCTGAAAGAAGGCGTGATAGGCAGCCTGTGGAGACCCACCTCCCTCTCGCGTGTTCGGCGGCGGCCGGGCGGTGGCAGCATGGACTGGGCTTCGGCGGGGAAGACTGCCTATGAGCCTTGAGTGTCAGCCTGGCACCCAGGGGTGCCTGGCGGAGGGCAGGGATCACAGTGTGGAGTTCTGTTCTTGCTGTAAATGGGAGGAGGTGGGGGCAGAGGGCCGACCTGAGGTCCTCATCTGGCTGGGACAGAACACCTGCTTCCAGCCCAAGCAGGAAGACACTGATTCCAGTGGGTCTGACCCACGGAACAGTTGTCAGTGAGGCACCAGGAAAGCACTGCCCTGACACGGGCCCCTGGAAGGGGCTGTTGTGTGGCCTTTCACTGCAAGTCCTTAAGAACTGCATCTGAACGAGGAAACGGCTGACTTGAGGCAGAGGACTGGACACGCGGCCTCTTACCCTCTCGGGCCCTGCCCGATTGACCCTGGGGGAGAGCCGATAGGAGGCCTACCTTGACCCGCTCTGCGCAGGACCCCAGGCCTGGCCCACGTGGCCCCTGGCCCATGTGGGCAGCTGGGTTGGGGTGAGCACAGAGGGGTGAGGAGAGCCTTCTTGGCTTGCGGCATATGGTGAGAAGATGTCCCGGGGAATCCTCGCTCCTGATTTAAGCAGCTCCGACAGCTTTATGGCGCCTCCTCGAGTGAGCCCCCAACGTTGGCCGTTTAACTTTTTAGCGTCGTTTAACGCTTAGGCTCTGGCGGACAGGCAGGCCCCTCGGCCCCAGAGGCAGCAGCACTAAATCAGGACACTCTGAGGCCCCGATAAATAATTTTTACAGGGCACGCAGCCCATAGATCACCAATGGGGGTGGGGGGAGAGCGGCTGTGATATTTCAACCAATTGTCATATATGACTACCCTGAGCTCTGATCCAGGTCGTCCGCGTGGCAGCCAGCTTCATAAGCACAGCCCCAGGGCCCTCCACGCAGGGCCTGGGAGGGGTGTGGGGAGATGGTGCCTCTGATAGCCCCACAGCCAGCTGGTGACCTGGGGATGCAGGTCTGTTCAAACCTGCCTTAGTCTGCAGAGCATAGCGCTCCATCCAAGCTGCCTCTGGTACTTCGAGAAGGAAGGGCTGGGGGCCGGGTGGGCAGAGAGGGAGAAAAAGAACTTTTTGTAGTCAAAAAGTCACTTTTCAGACCACCTTCCTGGTTTCCCCATCCAAATCCAAACCTGAGGGGCCCAGGAGAGAACAGGCCATAGGCCTGCAGCCAGAGGGAGGGCAGAGATGGGGGCTGGAGGGAAGGGAAACTCTGTGCCATTGACACCTCTAGTGATGAGGGGCAGGGAGTGGAAGAAGAGAAAGGAACAGCGGGGAGGGAGAAGGCCAGGCAAGAGAGGGACAGAAAGATGAAGATGGAAAGATGCATGAAGACTCAGAGAAAGAGAGAGAGTCAGAGGCAGGAGGAAACAGACAGAAACTTACCCAGAGAGGGTGTTCCGACAGACAAGGTCTCTTCTTCCAGCCTGGTACCCAGCCAGAGAGATGGTGGTGCAGACAGACCCGGGGAGGGTGGTCTGTCAGGCTGGCCTGTCGTGACCTAGGAGGGCACCGCCAGCACCTGGGGGCCTGTTTCCCAGCACCAGCTCCACGCTGCTCCCCACCTCGCCCCTCCCCCCAGTGCCCTTGCCCCGTCCCCTCATCTGTAAGATCCTGGGATTTGCAGGGACACTTAATCCATATGGAGCTGATTCATTTCCATCTAAATCATCTCCATGAGCTTCCCTAAGAGCCCTCTGATGTGCCAGCCGCCATTCCTCTCCCCGGTGATGGCGGGCTGGGGGCTGCCCGTAAACAAACCTCAGCCGCCATCCATCCATCCTGGCGTCGTCCGTCAGTCCAGCCAAGACCATTCATCTCTCCAACCCTGCTCCCATACCCGTCCCCTTGGCTCCTCCAGTCCTTCTTTCTGTCTGTCTGTCCATTTGTGTGCCCCTCCCCTTCATGCCCCTCTTCTGGAGCCTCCACTTCTCTGCCTTGTCCAGGGTAGCATCGTGAGGGGTCAAGTTGGCTATACCCCTGTCTGCAGACTGGAGCCTTACCTGATCCTGGCCCATCAAGATGGGGGCCTCCTGGTTCACCACCTTCCAAGAGGAAAGGTCTTCTGATGAGTTTACTGAACAGTGTTGACAATCCAGGTTCAGGGGAGTTCTTTCTTCCATCTAGCTCGTGTGTTGGAAGTCCACATATGATCACAGGTTTGAACGGGAGTGAGGGTAAGATTACATAGGGTTCGGTCTCCAGTATTTGTAATGTGTACCTCTCTGGGTCTCCTCCAGCTAGTCAGGCCCATGCCAGGCACGTAGTAGATGTTCTGTGTCCACTGTATACTGGCCACAGCCTTATCTATCAGCTTCAATGAATCCAGGGCCCTCACATATGCCCCGCTGATCCAGTAGGTCTGTTACAGGGCCCAGATCGTGGTACCTCTAGCCTGGCAGGGTTTGCAGGAAACACTAAGGAAGTGTCTTTCTCTTCTGCTCTCCCACCCAAACTCCTTAGCCCTGTCCTGAGGGTCGAGGCTGTCCAAACAACTCTGTCTTGATAAAGATGGTACCGAAGAGGAGGAGGGGGAGCAGCAGGTGCTGGGGGTCTTCCATGGCACCAAAGTAGAAGCCTCACATTTGGGTTTACATGCACTGATAAGGAGATCGTGGGGAGCATTGCTGCTCCCGGCCCCAGTCTTCGGCCTAATGACCCTTCCCTTCCCAGGTTCTTCACATCAGCCTGGAAAGTGTGATCCTGGGAAGGGGCTGGGGGTCTGTGGGGCTCTCATGAGAGGAGACGGGAGCATTTCTTCTGGTCCCGTCTCAGTTTCTCCATCCACAGCAGCTGTGGGAGTCAGGGACTGGATCTGTCTCCGGAGTAATAGACTCTAGCGGCCCTGCAGGAGAATGATGTGGGCATGCATTAAAGGGTTTAGGTGGTGGAAGTAGAGCCAAAGGAAGGGATGAGGGCAGCCTCTGTCCATTTCACAGTAACGGCAAGTGGGAGAGGCAGAAGAGGTGGGGGGCAAGTCTTTGGATGGCCTGAACAGGCGGGTGCTCCAGCCTCTGCCACCGCCCCCACCCGCCCTGCCACACCATCAAGACCCTGGACACCTTGCTGAGCACCTGACCTCGCCCAAGGTCAAACCAGTCCAGGTAGAACATCCCACTGCATGAGTCGCTTCTCCCCAGGGGAGTGCCCAGCACCTTTCACGCTTGTCGTTGGTCCCCTCTAGGGAGCTGCTGTGAGTGTGCAGAACAGGTGGGGCTCTCCCAGCTGCTATCCAGCTGTGAGGATCCCAGCCCAGGCCTCTCCCACCCTCTGCAGGGGAGAAGGCTCTCATTCTAGCTGGAAAGATGAGAAGGGTTGTGGTGGGAGAGAGGGGCCAGAGGGGGCCACGGGGAAGCTAACCACTTGCCCCAGTTGTGTGAACATATGTGTGGGAGGGGAGGGGCCATTTGTGTGGGAGGGGAGGGGCCCACAGGTGGCAAGGCCCAGCTTAAGAATGATGGAGTGTTTCTTAGTTCTCTGAGCTAGAGACATATGGGGTATATAAGACCAAGCAAAATGAGAAATTATTGCTTAAGAGAGAGAGGACATGGGGGAATAAGAAAAAATTCAAGCCAGGGGGACCTATTGCCACCTGCCGGCTCAACATCATGACCTGACCCATCTGTGTTTGGCTGGATCAAAGTCCAAGGGGAGGGGGAGGCCTGAGAACTGACCCTCAGGGCCTTTGGGAGGTAAAAGCTGATGCCCAAAACGTGCATTTCCCCGATGTCACACAGAGCAAGGGGAGCTGGGAACAGCTGCCCGAATTCTCCAGGTGGGACTGTGGGTGGAGCTTGCCGTGTGGCCTCCTTCCTGGGCCGCCTGACTCCCCGTCCTTCGCCCTCCCTGGTCTGATGGGGAACCGGTTCTCTCTTCTCCTGCCGCCCTGTCCACTCGGTGGTCCCACCCTCTCTTGTTTCCGGCTTGTCTCCCCTCCCTGTGCCAGGCCTCCCAGGCTTTGTCTCTTCCCAGGTAGGCCCCGCCCCCAAATCAAGTCCACTTACCTAACCTTGTGACTGATGCGAGTTCTTCAGGGTCCACTTGTGGGCTGGTGTCTTGGTCCAGTGGGGTTGGAGTTTCTTTGATCTGTCTGTCCTCTGTCACTCAACATCCACATGTCCAGTTTAGGTTGCGACCTCCACAAAGCCAGCAAGGATCCAAGTGTTTATGCGGTCACCAGCATAACTCCGGGAGCAATCTGATTTTTGATAGAGTTGAGAGCTCTTCCTTTGATTCCATGAGGCAGAAGTATCTAGAAGGATGCGGAGGGTCTTAGAGGACCACTGAGTATGACTGATGTACTGTCCCTGGGGAAGCCACCTCCCGCTATTGCAAGCAGTGACGGAGGCTGGACAGTGGGAAGAACTTCTGAAGACTCTTAAGGTGGAAGGAAAGACTTCCAGGGTTTCCATGAAGCCTTTGGGGAGGGATGGCCTTGGTCTTTTCAAGCTTGGAGGGAGTCAAGGGGCTTGTGAATGTGGAAAGGTTTACTTCCATCCTTATAGGATTGATCTAAAAGAGGTCTGGCCACTTCCTCTTCAGGACTCATCATTCTCAGTGCGACTCCATTCACAATTTCTCTGATAACTGTCTGTTCTTTGGCCAGAAATCTGGTTCTTGAATTCCCTCTCCTGTTCTTCCCACAATTTGGGAACCAACTCCAGCTCCATCTTATGGTGCCAGAAGAACAGAGAGGTAGAGCCACTTCTGGACAGTGGCACAGCAAACCTATAAGGAGCTGGGGACGTGAAGGGAGAGGATGTGATCCTCAGAGGGGAAAGGGCAGGGCTGTCCAGGACAGGGTTTGACATCAGCCGGAAGAGCCCCCCCCACCCAGCCCCTGAGATCCAAATGTGCACACGATGGATCTGTCTTCACAGCCAAGGGCCCCCTCCCTCCCAAGGAGAAAATCCCACAAGTGGGGAACATCTGGATCAAACCGCAACCATGAAAGCACAACATCAAACGAGGGCTTCGGAGCGACCCTCCCCACAGGCCCTGCTCCAAGAGAAACTGCAGATCTTCCTGCTCTAAGCTTTTAAGTGTCACTGAACCACTCAAGTTTGGGATCTCCCCTTATTCACCGGAGACAGATGTCCCCCAGTGAGCACGGTTGGGGGTTGGGTTCGATTACCCCAGCGGGAAAGGATTTGTGTGACCTGATCCAGGCCACGTGGGGGTGGGGGGGTAGCCTGGGAGTTAGCCTGGGAGTCAGAGCCGTGAGGAGGGGCGCCAGCAGTTCAGGCTGGGGGTGGGGAGAGAGAGGGGACAGGTGGGCCTTTTAAAACGTGCCTACATCAAAGGTCTGAGCAGGCTCCCTTCCCAGCTTCGGGCGCCTCGGGGCAGGAAAGCAGTGATTTCACCACATAACTGCACGTAGTCGGAGGGATCTCAGTCTGAGAACTTCTGGGGAATGTGGAGAGGAGAGGGAGGGTGCTCCCCAGAGAGGAGGACAGGGCAAGTGGGTTTCTTCTTTCCAAATAGCCTGCCCAGGCCAAGGAGAATGGGGCCATATGCTGCCTCCCTCCCACTCGGCCCCTGTGGAGGGAGGCAGAGGAAGGACATTCTTCCAAGGTGCAGAGGAGGCAGCAGCTGCGGCCGCGGGAGGTGGGAGCTGGATCCAGATGGAGAGTGAGGGGGAAGCAGGGGCATCGTCCCCAAAGGCTGAGGGAGAAGACGGAGAACACATAATTCCAGGAGGCTGGTGGCTCCTCCCTTCTTGCTCCCAGGCTCCATCCTCTCGGAAACACAGCACCTGGCCATGATGCTAGCAGGGAGGGATGAGGGAGGGGTAGGTGGGACCAGGAGGCGCCCCAGAGATGGCTGGAACCTCAGTCCACATTTGAATACTCTGCCCAAAGAGAGGGTGGGTAAGAGGGTGCTGACACCCCACTGTGTGGAAGAAGTCAACAGTTTCTCCTCGTGGTGGAAGATAAGCTTCAGTTGGGAGAGTATGGGAAGAAAAAGTGTACCACTCACTCTCAGTTCACATCAGCCCCCCTTTCAGGATGCCTTCCCTGCCCCCTTCTTCTCCTCTTTGCCCTGCGAGGTTTAGGTGTGGGCGTGGTACCCCACAATGCCTGGAGGGGGTAGCACCGCTGTAGGGCCTTCCCTCACTGCCTTGTAAAGATCTGCTTCTGGTTTCTTTCCCCATCTAGACTGTCAGCCTTGAAAACGTGGGCTCCTTCCCTCCCACTGGGTTCCCAGTGCCCGGCAGAGAGTAGGTGCTTGGTGATGAAGCCCTATTCCAGCTCCCAGCTGGCACGCATTTCTCCCACCACCTGCATTCTGGGAAACAAGGGACACCCACGTGATGATTCCTCCGCAGTCGCAGGCCCTATAAGGGTCTCCAAGGGCAGCTCCTATCTGACATCCTCTGGGGGTCCTTTGGGGGGACCCTAGCTGAGAGCACTCTCTCTCACCTCTGAAATGGGCTGTGCACAAGTTTCACCTCTGTGGTCGGGGCTATTACTGTATGTATTCATCTGGGATGGATGTGTCGTGTTTGGTCACATGAGACCCAACGCTCTCTGGAACCAAACTCTTTACCTCCGACTCTTCACGTGGCCCGCAGTGCCCAGCGTGGAGGAATCCCGTCAGGAGAGGCTGACTGTGGACTGGCTGACTCTTTCTTCCAAGTCCTAGTGTCTCAGCCTCTGATGTGGTGGCTCGTCTAGGGCTCTGATGGCTGAGTGTCCGGAGCTGCTGAGTTGGGGATGTCCTGGCAGAATGGGGTGAACTGGACACGAAGGAGCTCGGTCCCAGTGAGGTAAGGACACGGTGTCTGAGGGACCCTGCACGCCGAAAGAATGCTTGAGGGGGATGTTGTGGAAATGACTAAGGTCAGTGGGCTTTATTCAGACTCTTTCGGAGAGGAAAGCATAAAATTGGGTGGAAGGAGAGAAGAGCAGGGCTGGCAGAGGATGAAGAAGAATATCCAGGTGCGATGGACTTTGCAGTGGGTAAGGAGGCTAAGGCAGCTTTGCCTGCAGGTGAGGGCCCAGGAGGGAAGGGCCTGGGCAATTGTAAACATTCACTCTACACCAAGGACCCTGACCATCCACCACTCCATGACCCACTGCCATCCCTCCCCAAACTCTAGGCCAGGAGCGATCCTACATCT